ATTTACTTACTTTCTATCTGTTACGCGTAGATTTTAACTTATCTGAAAAATTTATCAGCACGAATATATATTTTTTAATATAAATAAAGGTAAATACGAGCAACAAAATCGCTAGACATTATTACATACCTATCTAATTTATTTACAAGTTCGGGGAAGCAGAAGGAGTAATTTGGTGCATAAGCTTGAGTACCTAATACTTGAATAATACTGAGTATTATTTGAGTAATTGTAATTAGTGTACAAATGCTCAGGGTTTTTCCACTAGATACTCGTTATTTTACTGGGTTTTCAAATTACATAGGTAGGTAGGTATATATTTCTTTTTTTTTTCTGGAATATCGAAATATCGTTCTATCCTCGTTACTATCTTTCAATTATTCTTAGTTCAATTTTCTTTTCTAATTCAAAATGTATAAATGCAACACATGAAACAATTTTAAATAAGCTAGTAGGTACTGAAAAATTAAAATAAATCTCGAGATAAATCCGAATAAAATTCTACAAATGGTAATGGTACAATGGTAATGATCATGAATAGAGAATTCCAATGGATAATATTTATGTGATTTCAACTTTTCCAGAATTTTCAAATAAAATAGTCATTATAATTTCCGATTTTAAAAAGTAGTAATTTGAGAGACCTAGGAGCTTCCTCTGTTAACAAATAACAAACAATAACTTTCATTTAATATCTTTTACAAAAACTCAATTCTCTAATTTCTTATTATAAATAAATATTCTTTCTTCTGTTCCACTATGTCATCTTAAATATAAACCGATGAAAAACCGAAGTAAATCACTAAATCACAGTTAACGTACCAAAAACAGCAATTATTAAGTAATCTCGTTGTCAAATTCGGAAAATTCTAATTGGACCGAGTAGGAGGTAAAAATTGACAACCTCATAACCTATTTTATACAAATGGGTACCTACACAAAACAATAAAATAATATTTATATGTTAGACATTTTTATACAGCATTAAATACAGTGGCAGAATATGTATAAGGTTCAGAATAAAAATTGCAAACTATCTACTAATTGTAAGCACCTACACCTTGGACAAAATGTTATTGTTAATTAATACGTTGGTGTTTACTTTATGAATGAAACCGTAATTATGGAGATTGGATTCATCAACTTTTTATGACTTTAAATATACTTCTAATTAACATCAAGTGGAATAAATAATAAACAAACTGTACTCCTTAGCTACCTACCTACCTGGCAATAATATAATGTAAAAGTAAAGATACCTACATACAATAAGTAAATAGGTACCTATGTGGCAAAAAGAAAATGTTAATTAAAAAAATATAACTACTAAAAGCAGGTCCATATACCTATTAGCTCACTCATAAAAACTTTAACGGCTAAACTATTCTATTAATAGTAATATGCAATATAACATTTATCGACATTTCTCTTGGCAAGTGATCAAAGAAGCAGAGTACCTACAACACTTACCTAATATTTAATAATCCAGAAAATGAATATTTGGCCAATGAATAAATATTGTAGTAGGAGTTAAAAATATCCAATTATAATTAACTTTTTTAAATAGATTAAATTTGATTGCCAGTGGAGAAAACTGATAAATATTTATATAAAGACAAATGTGCCATCCAGGTAAAACTGATAATACATTGTATCCCAACCTTGTCAACTTGCATTTCATTTAACGTACAAGAACGCTAAACGCTTCTAACTAGGTATTATTACTGGTATTTGATGTCACTGTTTTAATAATTCATTGTCTAGTTTCATGCAAAGCTTCAAGTTGCACATTTTATCTGGATTGGCGAAAATTCTAACTATGCTGACCCATGCTATAAATATAAAAACGTAAACAGAACCTCAATTCAATGAAACAAAAGGAGAAATAATCAAAAGTACACTTAATTATTATTTAAAATCGCCTTGTCAATTCGGTGCAGTCCGAAATTAAGTTTGTTTTGGTTGGAAAGTAAACAGTAAACTTTTAAGACAAACTTAACCTCTTCGGCTACCTACAGACTTACATTTCATTTGCCAGAACTCGGGACAGCTTTAACTAGTCAAATTCTCACAGTAGGGAGCAAGTTTTTCACGAAAAATCACTGAAAAGGGGGCCGAAATGCACACACAGGGCACAGATAACCACACTTAACGTCAGATAGCTAAACTGTGTACAGTAAAAAAAAGGACAGCGAGCGAGATGTTCTGTTGTTGCAGAGATAACTGATGTATGAATGAATGAAGCATATGGCGGAGGAGGTAGGGATCGCACGCCACTGATTGGTGGTATCTTACACTCGAGCTGGCTAGAGAGCTAAGTTTAGATTGAGTAGCAACATAGTGCGGCACAATGATTTTTTCAGGCTTCGGCGATAAATCTTGTTTCTGGAGCTCAGCAGTAAACAATGATTTTTCATTTGAAGTAATAAAATACAATGTAGGATTTATTGCCAGTTAATGAGATATTGTAGCAAATAAATCAAGGGAAATTCGCTATTATTCCAATCGTAAATTATGTATTTGTAAAAGTTTTCTCCCTTGTACAAACATTTTTTGAAATAGAACTAGGATTAATAAAAAAACGATTAATTAAGTTGAAAGTATTTACAATTGCTGACACAAAATATATTTAATAAATGGTCTCAATTTGTCTCATTTTAATTTTAGTCGATTTTTATGTAAAAAAACATAAAATGGATGAATATAAATATGCGTTATGTTTATTTCATCTTATAAAAATTCTTAAAGTACAGGATGATAAAAAACTTCAGTAGCTACAAATTAAGGTACCTATGGAATATGGAATTTAAATAATATGGTGTGCTTGTACCTATAATTATGGTCGGCTCAATTTCATTCTGTCTCCGCATGACGTCACCTGAGACCTGCTCAAACGTCAAATTTGTACTATATTCACACCATGGACCATGGTAAACCATATATTTTACAAACACAGACAATTGAATGTTTAAAATATCAGTTTAAGTAACTAGTGAAAAGTAACCTCAAATATTGTGTCACGTTTGAAGAAATGTAACCTATTTTGCTTAATTATTAAATGAAGATATTTAGGCTGCAATAGCTCTGGATTATTAGAAAAACGACAGAAAGTTGCATTTTTAATAAAAATAACTTATGAAGCCATGGCATACATTGGCATAAAAAATTTTTATGCCAATATATCAGTCAGCCTTGTTCTTAAGTGACGTCACCAGATGCGCGTAGGCACACCATATTACATTCTCATCACAAATATATTTTTTACTCCTGATGAACATATGCAAGGTAATGTGCATCCCATTTTCAGAATTGTACTAGATTTGTATTCTTTAAGTATATTTTATACTTACAAAGTTGCAGTTTTCAAGAACATTGATCACTTTTTTTTTAAACAAATCGACACGTTTTTAGTTTTAGAGTAACGGCAAAAACAAACCAAAATTTTGATATTTTGGGTGACTCTTGCTGCAGCTTACTTTTTTCTGAAATTTTTTTGTATAGAAACCATGGCCTACTTCTTTAATGATTTATGACTCACAGATCAAATTTACACTTTTTTAAAGATGTGAACTTTTCATATATAATTTTCATGATTATCTCTAAAAGTAAAATAATGGGATAACCCTTTCTTTCCTTTAAATTAAAAAAAAATGAAGTTGGTCATTACTAAAACAAATGCACTACTGAACAGAATTGGCTATGAAGAAAAACAAATTCATAGTCAGTAGTGTACATAAAAACTAAACTATTTAGTAGAACATCCCCTCTTTAACTAGACCATGGCCAACTATGATTTTCATTAGAAAAACTGTAACATACTACATAAAAATAATATAGTATGAAGTATTTATTTCATTTTAGAAAAAAGTCCAACTGTTGCCATTACAGAGATTGATCAATTCAAATTTTCCATTTTTTTTATGTAATTTCAAAACTAAAACATCAAAAATCTGTTTGGACTCAAAAAAATGGGCAAAAATCTTTAATAATAACCGATAGATATCCTGGCACGATATTGAAAATAGGATGTACTGTACAGATATGGATAAAAAAGGGTTCTGACCTAAGTCTTTCAAAGGGGTTTAAAAAACTAATAAAATCTTATTTTATCTGTTCATCTAATTCTCCTTGTATGGCTAAGGTGACTAGACTATTTATTTAGTGACTTTTTGCTTTTTTGTTTTTTAATCTTGTTTTATAAAAAGATATACAGGGTGTTCAAAAAGTTTGGAATCCCCCCTCTATCTCAGAAAATACTGCTCAAACAAAAAAATTATTAGGACAAAAGTTGCAGGGTTTTGAGTGAGCAATCCAACGGTGACCTTGACTATGACCTTGAAGGTCATTTAGAGGTCAAGTCGAAAATTTTAAATGGAACCGTATACTTTTCACCCGAAATGGTAAGAGCGGAAAATTTTACGTTTGAATGTGACCTTGACTTTCAAAGTCATTTAGAGGTCAACCTGAAAATTTTTAATTTTCTGACCCCGGAAATGGTTACAGTATTTCCAACAGGTTGTCTCCGAAAGTTCTCATCAGTGATAAAATTACCGAGATGTTTGGTTTAAAAGTGAGCAATCAAATGGTGACCTTGACTGTAACTTGGTGGTCGTTTACAAGTCAATTTGAAAACTTTTTTAATCAAATTTTTAGTCCAATATATTAGATCTGTTCCGGGGACAAAAATATACGGTTCCATTTAAAATTTTCAGGCTGACATCTAAATGACCTTGAAGGTCATTGTCAAGATCGTTGGATTTCTCACTCAAAACCCTGCAAATTTTGTCCTAATAATTTTTTTGTTTGAGTAGTATTTTCTAAGATAGGGGGGGGGTTCTAAAGTTTTCAAACACCCTGTATAACCAGTTTAAGTTAGACTTTTTATTGTCCACAGCTGTACATACATACATTAATCTTATTTGTACTTAACTTCCATTAATGTGGTGCTTCTATAACATTTATTAAACTTCTGAAAAATAAATGAAATATTTGTTTTTCACAGTTTTATTTAAAATTTACAAAATTTTTCACTTATTCTAGAGTTTATAATAAACAACCTTCACTTATCTCAAATAAAGTGAAAAAAATCCACTGTAGACAAAAATTATAAAATAGCGTACTGTTCATACAATAGTTCTTTGACCTTATAGTAATCTTCAGATATACAGCCCTCTAACATAATACGACCTGACTCCACCTAAAATAAAAAAATTCCAAAATTGCCATAACAGGTGGTTATTATCACAAGACACTCAAAAGTGGAATAACACCCTATTTGATATTCAATTCAGTATTTGGTTAAAATAATATTTCAGTATGATTTTTTACTCTGTTATAAAAGAATAGCTATATAATTTTTAAAAGGAAATTTCAATGATGAAATTTTATTAAAATAAACCCATTCTATAAATAAAATAATAGTTACCCTTCGAATGGCTATGGATCCGCCTGAACACCACAAAACACCTCCTGAAAATTCAGAGTTAATGTTGCTTTTTGCCAGAACTTGCTTAAATTCCGACAGTTTTAGTTCGTTGATGAAAACGGGATCATGAGGCGCAATATCATTGTATGGTTCCAGCGTTAATATTTTCTGTTCTTCCTCATCCACTATAAACCACAGTTCATAACAATAAATTAATATAGTGTCTAAATTCTCTATACAATGTTTATTAAACATACTGCAAAAATTCAAGGAGTTCTTCCCTGAACTATTCTAAGAATATTTTGTCATTTGATGATTTTTGAAAATCCGTTTTGTTCTAAAGATACAGGGCAAGAAAATTTTTCGACAAAAGCAATTTTGAAACGAAATGGAGGACCAGGAAGTCCAATGGTACAAACGTTACCTCAGTTTGTGGAGGATATACCATTGGTAACAAGAAATGCAATGTGGTTTATGCACGATGGTACACCAGCGCATTATGGCCTGCTCTATCCCCAAACTTAAACCCCCTGGATTATTTCCTATTGGGCCATCTAAAGTCATTAGTTTATACTATCCAGTAGAAAATGTGGAAGATTTAAGAAATTGGATAGTTGCTGTGTGCAACTCGATAAGAAACAACCCTGGTGTTTTTGAAAGAGTTTGGCAGTCAATGACAAGATTGGATTCTTGCATACTAGCTGGAGGTAGTCATTTTCAACAGTTCTTGTAGATTAAGAAGCTTTACATGTTAATTTAACATAAAATGTTGTCATTGTCGAAAATTTTTCTCGCCCTGAATCTTCGGATATTGAAAGCATTAATTTTTGTGTGATTGGCGAGCATTTGAAGCAAAAACTTCAATTTTTGACAAAAAAGGGGCAATCATTTGTCAATAAATAATAACAAAATCAACTTTTCGAAAATCTCGTATGAACTTCTTTTCAGAATGTTATTTTAAAGATATGGTCAAAATTTGGAGTAAATAGAATGAAAATTGTTGGAGTTATGCTCCGTTTTAAAAAATCGTGTTTCAAGAAAAATGCCTTCAAAGTTTTGTATGTACTAACATACTTTTGTTTGAAAATGCTTCCAATTGACCACAAACTCTTTCTAATGACATAATGTTAGTTTAACCTCCATTAGTAGTATTAGGCCGATCGTAAACACAGCCACGTGTAGTCGCCACAAGTGGCCGCCATAGGTAACTATAGTAGGATCATATTCGATGCAAAGTAATAAATCACTGCCTGTCAAGGGATCCAGTGCAGTACGGTTTTAAAGGGTTTAGAAATTGAATAATTTCTCTATGCATTATGAAGAGATGAAGGCATCAGTTCACGTCTGGCACCCCCGTTCCTACAAAAATCCCTTTATTCTTATAAACTATTTATTTTAAATGTAATTTATTATAAACCCAATTTGTTTTTTCATATTCCATATATGTACTACATATTAAGTACTCGCAAGGTAAATGGACACTTTATCACTCTTTTTGAAGATTTAAAGTTACACGACAAAGGACCCCACACAAAATATTATGGAAAATGGTCTTTTGGTAAATCTTTTTTGCAGAGAGGTAGGTTTCAGCTTGCTTGACAAAAGTCTCAATGACACCAAGATTAAAAAATCTCACCCAAGGCCACTGTGCGGCATATTGTTGAATCTTGCTAAACACAGGTTAACATTTGATCCACAATGAAACACCCAAAGCAGTCTGGTCCTTATAAGGTTTTTGGAGTCGCTGATAACGATGAGTAGGTCAGTTAACCCCTTGAGTCATATATGACAGCATATTTTTGTCTGAATTTTTTTACTCGGGGGTTTTCAGGGTCTCTGATCACGAATATGAAGTTAGATTTTCGTAGTTTCCAAATCCAAGATGGCGGATCCAATATGGCCGACGGTCACCTCCGGTGAACTCGGAAACATATTTGTGAATTTTTCCAAATTTTTTCAACAATCAGTTCTCTACTTGACCTTCAAAATGACCTTGGCATGACCTTAAATGACCCCTGGGAGTCGCTGCGGGGTTAAACGAACTACGGTTTCGTGATTAGGGACCTCGGAAAAATATGTATGAATTTTTCTAGATTTTTTCGATGGTTATTTCTCTACTTGACCTTCAAATGACCTTGGAATGACCTTGAAACTGGTGTGATGGAGCTTAACTGACCTAGTCATCATAATCAGCGATCCCAAAAACTCTATAAGGACCATACCGCTTTGGGTGTTTCACTGTGGATCAAATGTTGAAATGTGTTTAGCAAGATTCAACGAAATACCTTTTTTCGTATATTTTTGGGTGAGGTTTTTTTATCTTGGTGTCATTGAGACATTTGTTCAGCAAGCTGAGACCTACCTCTCTGCAAAATTTCAGCAAGCTTTACCGAAAGATCATTTTCCATATATTCTGTGCGGAGTTCTTTTTTAAATATTTTCAAATGAGTGTAGCCACATTCCATTAATTATTATCTGGGCTTCAACATCAATTCTACCATACGGTGGCGATAGACTGTGGACTATGTTTGTGCCAAAAGACGAGTGGCTGTCGTCGGCTACAAGCAGCGAGTTATGGTTGCTACAGTGCCACTGCCAACGGTGTATTTGCACTGAGCCTATTTAAACGTTATACAAAATACAGTCCGCAGAGTGTAGCAGCCACCAGTGGCGACTACACGTGGCTGTGTTTGCGATCGGTCTTAGAGGAGTTGGGCTGTACCCTTCCAGCAGGTATCTATTTGCTGCAGGTAGTCATTTCGGAGCCGTCTGACGTGCTTAGGAAAGAGAATTTTTCAAAGAAAAAAAAATTGTACAGACTTAAAACCATTTCCCTCTTATTCTAGAAGCATCTTTTAAATCAATAAAAAAAAAATATTTTCTGGAATCTATACAGTGGCTTAAGGATGAAGTTATAACTGTGAGAGGTAATTCAGGGGCATTTTTAGAGGAAGTTCAATACAATAGACTTCATTTAAATCAGTTTTAAATCTGTTTGGAAAAAACTAAAATGATTTGTCAACTTTGGCGCTCCCCAATCGTTAACCGAACGAAATAATCGAACAGGTTTTTGTATTTTGATAATTAGTAATACAGCAATATTTTTACCTTCCATAGGCTCATTGTCGGCATTCATTCTCTTGGCGTCAGCCTGACTCTCCCTAAATATGATTTGAGCGTTCAACCACGCCACCTCCGCATCTTTGGCTTTCTGGAAATTTAACTGCGACACCAGAGCATCTGTAAGGCGAACCTAAAACAACTCAAATAAATAAAAGCTTAAAGCAATCTATTATTTCTTACCTGGTAGATGTGCGTTTCGCTTGTAGCATCCACCATTTCTCCCTTATTCGGGGTAAACACCCTGGCCTGTATATTATCTACGCAATGTTTCGCTATTACGGAAGTACTTTCTTCATTACCGCGCACTACTATGATTCTTCTCGGCCGCAACTGCGATAATATTTTCATCAGGGATTCTCCATCTGACCTTCCCTCAAAATCGATGTACTGTACTTGGCAGTTCACTTGTACCGTTCGATTCAGGATTATGCATTTTGTGGGCAGTTCTGGAATTTCGGCTACGACACGATAGACATGTTTTTAAAGACACCATGAAAACCTCGTAAAATTTAAACACTTAGTAAATTCAGGTACATTTATTTCTAGAGAAGCATAAACGGGAATAACCTGCATATTTATATGTTCCGTATGATACATAATTACATAAAATTGAGAAACAAGAGATAGTTTATATATTTTTAAATAATATAAATTTTCATTATCCACGAAGCTCTTTTGAAAAAGCCAAATACTCTCCAATTTTCTCGAAAATGCTCTTAAATGCTACATATTTTTAATACAGGGTATAGCAAAAGTACCGGAACAGCAAAATAACTCGGCGGGAGAGCATTTTAGAGAGAAATGTTAAATTCAAAAGTTTCAGGATTTCTCCTTGGCTATCCAATGGTGACCTTGACATTGACCTTGAAGATCATTTCAAGGTCAAATATGATTCTTCAAATGGGACCCTATACTTTTGACCCCAGAAATAAAAAGAGTGGAAAATTTTATGTTTAGATATGACCTTGATGACGCCTCCCTTTTGACCTTGGGGCCCCCACAAGGTCAAACTAACAAAATACAGGAACGGCAGAATATCTCGGCGGGAGAGCATTTTAGAGAAAAATGTTAAATACAAAAGTTTCAGGATTTCTCCCTGGCTATCCGATGGTGACCTTGACATTGACCTTGAAGATCATATCAAGGTCAACATTTTTCTCTAAAATGTTCTCCTGCCGAGTTATTCTGCTGCTCTGATACTTTTGCTATACCCTGTATAAAATTGAGAAACAAGAGATAGTTATATATTTTTTAAATAATATAAATTTTCATCATTCACGAGGCTCCAATTTTCTCGAAAATGCTCTTAAATGCTCCATATTTTTAATATTTACGAGAGCAATATTTTAAGAAACTAGATAGTAGTTCAGGTAGTGTGAAATCTGAGAAAATTAAAAAAGTAATGTTGCTTTTGTATTTTTGAGGAGAACATTGGAAGACAATGATTTCTTCAATGTGAATTTACAAATTGACAAAGTTTTCAGCTTTATAATATTAATTCAAAATAAAAATTCCTTTCTTAGATGAAAATAAACCGATTTAGACACCAAGTATAATTTTGCTTCGTTAAAAAGTTACAGGAAAAAATTTTTTGTGTGTCCACGGATTGAGTGCATGTGGGGTATAGATGATAAAAATTTTTCGAGTTGAAATTTGAGCTTCTGCTTGGCCTTAAACTAGGATGTTGAAAAAATTAGTCCAATTAATTGATGTACAGGGTGTTTTTACGATGAATTTTCAAAAATTATCAAGAGTAAAGTACCTATGTTTTTAAAAATATTAGAAATATTTACTTAAAAAAATTATTGAGAAAAGTGATGACAGATTGTCAATTTTCAATTTCATCAGCCAATTCAGTTTTTTTATTTTTTGCAACCACAAAGTACAAATTCCTAATTGTTTATTAAAGAAAAAAACGTAACTTATATAATAAACATAAATAAACAAATAATATAATAGTTATTTAAATATGCTGCCACCAACCATTACACATCGGTTAGTGCACTTAGTAAATTCTGTGTAGGCATTTTGTATTTCTTGAATGGGGATGGCATTAATTGTATCTTTTATCCTTTGTTTCAATTCAAATAAATCATTATTCAACAGGGACATAGATATTCTGATGAGCCCCATAAATAAAAATCCATTAGACCAATTTGCCCAATCCCCCGCCCAGGAAATTGACCATCTAGCCATTCTCGAATGATTCGCGTTGAATGCGCTAGATGTCCGTCTTGTTGAAAGTAAAGGAAAAAAAAACAAAGTTGGCTAATCAAATTGAAAATTGACAGTCTGTCATAACTTTTAGCTCTCAATAACTTTCTTAAGTAAATATTTTTGACATTTTTAAAAACAAAGGCACTTTACTCTTAATAATTTTTGAAAATTCATTGAAAAAACACCGTGTGCATTATTTTTTGGAATAATTTTTTCAACTTCTTAGTTTAAGACTTGAAACAAAACACTAAAAGACTAAGGTAACTTGACCTAAATCAGTATTTTAATCCAGAGATGTTACCCTTGAAAAATGGCCCATTAATTTCTGGACACTCTATACATTTATTAAAAACTTACTTATTTCCTCCTCTTCCTTCTTTATTATAATGTTTTCTTTGTTATCTTCAGCTTCTGCTGAAACTTCAACCAGCTTGTAATCCTCAGGTTTAATTATTTCTCCATATTCGTCGCACTTTATCTTCTCTTCGTGGAAGGGATACATGGGGTGCTGTTTTTTTGTAACCTTAAAGAAACCTCCAGTAATTTTGCCTTCTTGTTTGATGACTATGTCATGTCTACCTTTGGATATAACCGACATTTCTATGTCATCATCCGAATCCGATTCTCCATCTCTAGAAACGAGGCGAAAAATTATTTCAGGTAAAAACGTTAAATAGCAAATAATCTACTTACTCTTTGAGATCGCCATCATCACTCCTTTCTCTCTGTCGTTTTTCATATTCCTCCAGTTCGGAACCTTCGAGTTTGACTCTTCTTTCAATAGTCAGGTCTATGGTTCTTCCTCCGCCATTATCAACCAAATCTCTTGCTAATGTGCCTGGGGAAGTTCTGAAAGTAGTTACAAGACGTTAACTATTAATAGTGAAACCTCATATGAAACCAAGAAAGGGTTTTTAAGTTCCCCTTAAAATACTGTTATTTTTCAGATTTGTTCTATCATTTAGCTTTCCTTCAGGTATGCCGCAAGGTTCACACTGTTCACATTTAGTATTTAATTTATATGTTTACTAGCTTTTACCCGCGGCTTCGCTTGCAGAGTGATAGAAAATCTTACGTAAAAAATATTTTTTTTTTTAATAAAAGTATCCTCTGTTACTTCTAATACCTCCAAGAATATGTGCACAAAGTTTCATGATGATCGGTTAAGTATTAAGTAGGGATATTATTATATTATTATATATTATTATTAGTAGTAGGCTTCGCTCGCGGGTAAATAAATATAGAAAATCTTTCGTAAAAAAATATTTTTTTTTAATAAAAAGTATCCTATGTTACTTCTAATACCTCCAAGAATATGTGTACAAAGTTTCATGATGATCGGTTAAGTAGTTTTCGCGTGAAAGCGTAGGTAACAAACAAACTTACATTCACATTTATAATATTAGTAGGGATTATTATTATTATTAGTAGGCTTCGCTCGCGGGTAAATAAATACAGTGTAACCTCCATTATCCAAACATGCCTTTATCCGAATATCCACTTAACCGAATGGAAAAAAACGCAAGACATTATCCGAACGAGCCTCGTTTATCCGAACTGGGTGGCCGCGGAGCTCGGGTGATATGCGAAATTTGCTGCCGCGCTTGCGTGTGCGACTGGGTTTTTGTCTCGCCCGGCCCAATCGGTGGGACAGGAAGATGTGATAAATTTAATGACTGACAATGACATCTTGCACAATATAGAGAATGTGGAAATAGCCGAAGAAGAAAATAAGACCGAAGGAGCTGCCGACAACAAAATAACTCATGGAGAAGCCGTGCAATGTTTTGACAAATGTATAATGTATAACGTGGGGCAGTGATAATGGCGAAACATCTCACAACATATTTCTTTTAAAGGAGATGCAGATTAGAGCCAGAAAATTAGAAAGTAAATCCCTTTCACAAAGAAAAGTAACGGATTTTTTTAAATAAAATGTGTTTAAATATGTAGTTTATTAATTTTTTTTTTACATATATTTATGTATACATACTTTAATATGTAGTTTAATAAGTGTTTATGTCTTTATATTTTTTTTTGTATATGTTTTTCCATATTATAATTACAAACTTGAAGTATTAAAATAGGTTTTTAGAAAAATAACTGTGTTTTCATTTTAAATTTGATTATCCGAACAAATTGATTAACTGAACAAGACCTTACAATAATTAGTTCGGATAATGGAGGTTGCACTGTATAGAAAATCCTTCGTAAAAAATATTTTTTTTAATAAAAAGTATCCTATGTTACTTCTAATACCTCTAAGAATATGTGTACAAAGTCTCATGATGATCGGTTAAGTAGTTTTAAGCGTAACAAACAAACTTACATTCACATTTATAATATTAGTAGGGATCATTTGCTCATGTTCTTAAGACCTTCAGAACCATTAATTCTTCATATAAGGCAAGGGCAACCTTATGGATTTAAATGCCGGTAAATGCATTTACTAGATAAAAGAGACCAACAAATACACTTTTCTTAAGGAGGTTTATCTGATTTGGAATTGACGAACAAATATTCATAAAAAATTAATATAAGCTTATTAATATGAAGAAAATCCTCAAAAAAAATTATGACTAGTTTGGATACCTAAGAGACGAGATATTAATAAAATAATTTTTCACGATTTAGTACAGTTTTATGAAAATGCAGATTTTTTTGGTCTTTCCACTTAGAATGCGCAGCAATTGACAAACAGTTTTTACAGCAACTTGTATAAATAGGAAACCGATATCTAATTGTAAGGAACCGTATGATAGCTCGTAGAAATCGATTATCGAAAAACTTACACAAAATACATTTCTTTTACTTTTTAAGGTATGGAATTATTTAAAAAATTGCGACAATTCTTCCCAGTACTCTCGATGACCGACCGACTTCTGCTTCTTTCGCTTATTCCCTGTTGCATTTTCCTAATTCAACATTCGTACTATTCTAGGTACCTATACCAAGTGTTACAATTTTTGAAATTATTAATCAGCTTGATTTGTACCAGGAAATGTGTTTTAAACGCTTTATTTTGGAAAAGAAAGAATTAAAAGAGGAAAAGGACTCGAAGAATGAAAAAAAAAAAACAAAAGACAAGTGAATCATATTTTCTTCTGCAATATAATCCAAATGTGATTAGAAGGTAACAAATTACTATAACACAAAGATCACTAGCATTAAAACTATTAGAAGTTTTAAAAAGCACATTTCAGAGATGAGAGAAGTTGACGTTTCGGTTCAACCTTGCTTAAATATATTTTGAATATGCTGCAACATGTTGAAATCGCCAGAAAATGCCTTTAGTGACTGAAAAGTTGCCAGGAAGTTACTAATATAGGTACTGTTGCAAAATTGATGGTTAAGAATTTTTAATAAAATTGTTTTTATGAAACTAATAAAAATATAAAGCTGTCTTTACTAAAAAAGGAATATCTAATTGTAAGATTGATATTTCTATGAATAATAATTCAAGTTAGCAAAACATTTTCAAATTAAAAAAAAGATTACCTTGTAGTGATGATAACGCTGTTGTTGGAATTAGAGCACCACTGCAGGAACAGTTCCCTGGAAAATCCACTTTCCATATCTGGCGAACTAGCCAGCACAACTTTAGGACTTGAAACTTTATTCAGTTCCGACAAACTATGACACAACTGGAGGTGTTTGAATTGAAAGGGATTGTTCCTAGCGCCTTCAAAACTCCTCATAAGTTTATCACTCATCCATTCTATCTGAGATTTAGCAAACTCGACAACATTGTAACTAACGTTATTTAACAGCGCCAACGAGTAGGCTAGTAAACCGGATTCCTTATTTCTCCACAACTGGTCCAACATATGCGCTAATTCCAGTACTCTGCCTGCGGTATCTACAGCAATTAAAACATTTCCATTGTTGCGAAGAGTTTGTAAAATATTTGCTGAAAAAGACAATCATTACTGTAGTGTCGAAGCAAGTTTTTGACAGAAATAATTGTGTGCTAATTATATATCTTACTCATTAACTTTTCATCTCTAGCCCTTCTTCTAGCCTGTTGATATGTTGCATTGAATGCATCCGTTATAAGTAGCGATGGTCGTTGAAGCTTTTCCAACTCGCACCCATTCAAGTGCCTTTCTTTTTTATGATTAAAATCATTCGCATAAATAATGTCCTCTTCTCCTACCTTCATAATTTTCCAAATTGTACCACCGATCATGTGTCCAGCAGGTAAAGGTGTTACTGTTAATCCATATCCTTTGCCTAAAACGTAAACATTCAGATATACAATATATCGAAATTCAATTCAATTACCTTTTAAAGGAATAGTTTGGTTATATTTTAGTTGAATAATTTTCTCAAATGTTGCATCTACATCGTCTAAAGAAAAAACACAGAATTCCTTCATATTATATTGGGACTGATATAAGTCGTACATGAACATCTGGCCCATTTTATAAACAGGTATCGTAGCATAAATAGGACAATTCAACCCTAATTTGCCTACTACGTAAGGTAAAGCTCCTAAGTGGACGATATCAGGGTAAGAAAGTAGCACAGCATCGATACTGTGTACATGTCTAAAACAATTTAAAATAAAAAGAACAGATCCGTTACACTTGTAAATAATTACCTTCTTATCTCTTTTATAAATTCCATGTTAAATTTTTCGTCCCAACCACAATCTAACAATATCCTAACATCATCAACCTGTAAAATATAGCAAGGAGGGGACTCATCCATTGCCCCAGAAAGGGCTTGCAATTTTATGATAGAAGTCATACTGGTATGTTAAAAAATGAATCCTTTAGTTTTCATAAATAAGTATATCTATACATATAATACAAAAACCACTAAATTATATTACATTTTGCCCTATCAAAAAACAAAAAGTTAGGTTAGTTCAACAAAAGTAAACCGATTTTCCACGATTCGTATTCGTAATATTCCTTCCGTGAAGATTGAAAGCTAAATGGGAGTATTCAAATGACATGAATAGTATTTGAGTAAATATAAATTAAAATTCTCTAAAACAGAGAATATGTAATTATTGCAGTAATGTTAAAACGTACTTATTTTCCTCATTCATCTCATCTCTGTGCCCAGGATGGAAATATTAAATAAGATTTTCATTTACCTACCTATTCGATTACAAGTTCATACCAATCGAAAAAAAGGATTTATGCGCACAGAATGTTTTTAATCATAATTTTTTCTGACTGTTCTGTTCCATGGTTTTATTAATTCAAAATGAAAATATATAAAGTTCTCAGAATTTTGGAATTAATGCCGCACATCAATTTTGAGTGTTATAAAAAAATTGAATCATAATTCATGATATTTACAATAATTCTAATTAAATAGGTACCTACTACGAATAACCAACAATTGCGACACAAGTTTTTAATAAAAATGGGTAGGTAATAAAGAAAAGTGAGATGTTATAGGTAGTATACATAATTTAAAGAATTTATTTAAACATACTTCAATAAAAAATTACAATTTCTTTTGTTTTCTTGGTCTAGGAGGATTCCACGAAACTCTTGTACTATCTGTAATAGATATAATGTCTAGTCCCGACATCTGTAAGCCTTTGATCGCTGACTGCAACAGATAAGTTATTCTAAGTTATATTAAAAAATTAAGAAAAAAACATACCATTCGTCCTGGACCTAAACCTCGAACTCGTACTCTTACAGTTTTTATACCTGTTTCTAAAGCTTTCTATAAAATAAAAAGTAAAAAATAAATTATACCTATAAACAAAATAGTTTAATGATCATTAATATCTTGATGTGATATTTATTTATTTAAATATTTATTAAGAAAATTATTTTAGTAAATCATTTACCGATCCAATAGTTATTGCTGTTGCCTGAGCTGCAATATTTGTCCCCTTCCTTGTATTTTTAAATCCTTCAACTCCACATGATCTAAGTAACTTTGGAACACCTAAAATTCATAAATTTGAAAATCAATATTAGAAAACAAAAATTAATCGCTTCTCAATTATGTAAAATATACCTTTAGCATCTGTTAAACTGATGATAGTATTATTTGGAGAAACTCTAATGTTAAATATAGGTAGATCTTTAAAAGCAACTCCATTAAATAGTTTATTTGGTGTATCGATAGTAGGAAATCTGTCGGTAAGTCTGGAATAGATAATCCGGATTAAATATCACAGAAAAATTTTCTTAATAACACTAACTCATGAATAGCAGAATCAACATCCATTGTTTTTTCTCCAACAGCCCCTTCATCTGGTTTTGGCAAAGACCTTAGCATTTCCCTTCTATCTATTACTTCTCTACATCTTGCTAAGCCAGTAGCTATACTTCGTACATTACTTTGAATACTTTGTTCTGTTATTAAAAGGTTTTTAAATAACGTAACAAACTGAGTTCGTAACATATTTAAGTTTATTAGTTTCAAATAAAAATTTTTAAATTGATATACATATTTTAAGGTTAGAAACTATTGGTACCAGTGTTGCCAACCTTTTAAAACCATTATCCCCATATTATAAAGTGAAATTCCCCTTTTCCCCCACGCGATATTTAAAATTTCCCATTTTTTTCTCCCCCATTTTTATGAAAAATAAAACTGTAAATTTTAAAAAGGTCTTATAATTCGGAAACGGTGCGTTGAATTGAAAAAATAATTTAAAAAATCTCCCCACTACTCTGGTTCTGATTGTCCGTTCTGCGTTGAATGGAAACGGTCCGAAGTCAGTATGTCGAAAAACAAAAAAGTTAGTAAAAAATTGCAACAGCAGTAGCGAACGCATTATCTTATCTCTGTATTGATTGATGATTTGTTGTTTTTTTTTTAAATAAATTTCGTATTCAACTACTCCTTGAGGTTCCAGCAATTTTACATTGTGTTAATTTTTTTGAACACCTTGTGTCACAAATATGGGCACTACCACAGAATATATAGCGTAGCTATATATTCTGTGGCACTACCAATGACATCCATAATATGCAACACTTGTGACAATAAATAATTATTTACCTAGGTTTTGATATCGTACCATATTGGAAGTCGACGCACAAATCTAAAAACATTACTTTCGAGTTTTTGAATTTTCCCGTTCCAAGGTGATATAAAATAAACAATTAATTAGGTAAATTCATAGTTTTAATTCTAACTTGATTTATTTTATTTAACATTTAAGGCAAATATATGTGATTTCCAAACACAAGATAAGTTCCATATCTCTTTAATTACATAATTGAAAGCATAAAATTTATTTAGCAGTTGTTATTTGGCAACAAAGCCACCGCTGGAACTGCCGTCTATTAGCAAGTAGAAGAGTTACCACGCTAAATTTTATAGCTGGAAGCCGGCTAAGGAGACCCTGCTTCCATTTCGGGTTGCCAATTTCCAGCATTTAAGTAGCAGTCTGTAGCGATACGCTATATTGTCTGTGGCGAAATACTCTTTATTAAAACGATTGAAGAGATGATTAGGTATAAATAACAGAAACAATGTTAACAACGCGTCTTCAAAAAACACAAAGACAAATTTATCAAAAAAATATCTATAAAACAAAAAGCAGATACTTAAGTAGTTATTATTCTTTACAATTTGAAAACAAACATTAGGGCTTTATTTGATTTACATACTCCTGGAACTAAGATAGTAGAATCAAATATTTGTTGCTATAAGTATAATAGTGGTTGTCACTATTTCTTTGTAAAACTACAGAAATTTGTAATTCAGTAAATTTTGGATTCAAAGCAGCAAATCAGTAGATCGAATATAAAATCAGTAGATTTACTGAAAAATCAAGGAAAAATCGAAGTGGTAACAATTTGCCTTGTCAAATACCAACCTTAGGGAATAAAAATAATAGCGTGTTCAATTGTAATCTCATCGAGGTGTACCTACTTGTTGGGATAATTTAGTCCATGGATTTTTTTGTCCGCTATTTTTGCTTTGGAAAATTAGGTCATTTTTTCCTGAGCAAATATGATGTTGGAAGGCGAAGGTGACATACAAAATGTATATTGTTACAAATTTTAAGTACACTAAATTTCTTCATAATTTTGATGAAAAAATTATGATTTTTTATATGTATGTGTAGATATACATAATTACATTGTTAAATTAAGGGAATGCTGGAAATGGTTACAATTAAAATATATTGTAGATCAAAATAATTTAATGTTTATAAATAATACATAACACATTTTTATGAAAATAATACGTACTTATAAATAAAAACACAGCTCATCTATTTTAATGCTTCATATAGTTTTTAATAAATAATATGTAATACACCTGTGGAATATAAAACTATAAGTATTACACTAAATTGGGCAAATTGGCACAATTTTTAATGGACCTGTTTTAGGAACATTTATTTCGTATATTTATTATATAGTTAATAGTACATTTATGTCACAAGTAATACTCACATAAACAGTAGGTAGCTAATAATTATTACTGATTATGTTTTTTGACGAAAACATCATACTGCATGTAAGAAGTAACAAAATCTTTATAATGAAATATTAAATAATATGTGTATTGTCCAAGATTTTACATTATTGTCATCAGATCTTACCTAACTATTAATTTTCTGCTTATAATATTATTTTTTCGCGCTGTACTGCTAAGTAAACGAATTTTAGAAATTCATTATTTTATAAACCAATTTCTATCGTTTCGCCTTTAGTTTTTTTACATTTCCTAGGAAAAGAATCTTTTGTGAGAAAATCTGTTACACCAGAAAAAGTTTTTGCTGCTTTATCTGCCATCTTTCAACATGTAAACCAAAATAACGATTCTAATGGACTAGCTTATAAACTAAAACATTTGACTTCTGTCTGCCTAACAATTCCTCGCTGGAATAATATGGAAAAGCAACTTTCACATTAATACAGATAGTTTTTAGGGACATCGTTTACTGGTTCCGCGCACGTCCCCATATGCTTCTTGGTGACCAGCGATCTGGACCTGCAGTTCTCCATTTCCAAGAAGCAGCTGTTGCTGTACGTCTTATTGTCGGTGCCGCAGACTGGGTCGTAGTATGTGGGGCATATTCGCTGACATCCTTTGAATTGGAATCCGGATATGCAGCGCTTCATAGGCACCACGAATATATGCTTCCTGAAAGAAAATGTAGAATACAAATCAGTAAGATTTTACTACAACTGGATCAAATACTAATATTTAGATAGAGATAGAATATAGATCGACGTTCAGTGTAACTCAGTCTATAGACAATTATAGATTCTATCGATGTGCTTAGCGAGCGGCACAAAGATAAATAATATTGAACCGTTATAAGAATCATTTTATATTTTATACGCGTTATGGTAATAGTGTTTTTATATTATGTTTTTTTATAGTGGAAGCTTCAAGATTAGTAACTTTCATTACATTCACATTGTCAAAACACAAAGCACAGTTTAGCACGGTATAATCATTGATTTTATAAGCAACGCTATCTTGTCCTGTATGTCTAATGGTACCTATAATAAAGATGTAATGCGATTTCCATGTCTGCAACTTTTGCGATGTTCCGCAGTTTGTGTGTGTTTGGTCATAAATAAAATAAATGGTCACAAATAAAATAAAAATGTGATAAATATACTGTTTGGAAAAGAAGGCTTGTTTAATTCTAGACATTGTCCACAGTTAGAAGAGACTGTTCAAATGTACATTTTTGCTTTTACAGGTAAGTACTAGAAAAAAGTCGGATACTTTCACCAATGCATCTCTTTTCTTTGTACAACATCATCGAAAATTAAAAAAAAAATACGTAATGCGTGTTGAGTATTTCAAATTTTTGGAGAATAATTATGAAGAACGACTATAATATTGCCATAGTTTTTATTTTACCCGCAGTTGTCCCTTTTCATTTCGCATTCCGATCGGTAAATCTTGTTGTCAGAGCCGCATACGAAGTTCCTGTCTTCCGTGCATTTTTCGTTACAAAGAGCAGTCGTTCTGCAATGGTGGAGGGGTACCTGGATCACAAGTTGTCCACAGGTGTCTTTCCTCATGTGACAGTTTGATCTGAAACAGAAATGAACACCCTGTATATTATTACGTTTTGTCATTTAATTTAAGGTCGACTTAACGACTTTAATAGACAAATATCGATATAAGATCATTGACGTAAACATTTTATCAATGATTTTTCTTATCTTCTCATTAATACATCTTTTGACATCTCATTTCTAGTCAAATTTACGTTTTTCTAACAAGATTAGTTGTAGAGTTATTTTAAATATAATTAAAAAAAGTAGATAATAACTCGAGAAAGGTCCATTTGGCGTCCAATTTCTGGAGTTTTTAGAGGCAATGCCTCTACGTATCTCCGCCACTGATTGGCGTATTATACAGGGTGTTAGAAGTTTGACTGCCTTAATTTTAACGATGTGGTACAATAAAATAAACAAAAAAACCTTATATGACATGGGTTCTAAATTCAACTATTTGTTGGGTGACCATCCGGGGAAGGCTCGCGATGCTCGTCCTTTATAGTGGCATGTATGTCGGTGTATTCACAGAAGCTATACAAATTTAGGCGAGAGAGAAAAAGCTAAAGCTAGTTTGTTTTTTCTATTATTTATTATATGCCTATTAAACGTTAAAAACTGAGATTATTATTGTGGTCCGGCGCCCCTCGTATTCCCTTTTCTGTACGGTACTATTCCCAGATAGTATCTGATACTATTCCCAGATAGTATCATGGGTAGTAGGTACCTGTCTGTGAGATCTTTTGTTACTATGTCTTCATTAAGCAGTGAATTACTCGAAAATCAGACTTTTTTCAAAAAACAAAGGAGAGTAGTTATTTGTAGAAAATTGAAAAACGAATCCAAAAATATCATGATTGTTACCGTAAAGCAGTGGCGTACTATTGTATTTAGAAAAATGTGCCACCGATACCCTGTATCTCCGCCACTGGAGCATCTAAATTTTAGAAAAAGGACTCAAATTTCGGATAATGTTTATATAAATACATGTGCCCAATTTCAAATCCGAATTTCGAATTATTTCACTTACTACTTTTTAAATTATTGAAAAAAAATTGAAAATATTTTTTTAAGTTTAACACCTTATATCTTTTTAACGAGGCGTCCTAGATAAAAACTTTATACGAGATAGACTCCCGTTAAAATTCACCAAAGAATACGAGGTTTCATTTTGGGTCATCATTTGTGAATCATCCTGTATATAATTTTTCTTGTTATTGATTATTTTATTACTAGAATGATTTTTTATTTGCACGTTCCCGCAAATATTTTTCTAATCCTGACTCTACTTTTTTAAATAAAATATAAAAAAAGATAAGACGTTTGCAATAAAATAAATATTTTTCGCATTTATTTACCTTAAGTTCTTTGAGAACTTTTAAAAGTCCACTGTATGTGAATAGGTAATAAAATTTAGTTAATACTAATATCGATTTTAATCATTCGTACTGATAGATTCAATTTACTTGATACAAAAACAGTCCCACATGAAGTTATTTCCATTATTAATTGTAGAATACGTGCGTTTTATAGCGGTGTACCGTTAAAAATATGTAAATAACTGCGAATGAGAACTCCTACCAGCATAGAATGCAAAGAAATTAATTCCGCGACTTATAATTATCCTTTCAAAATAAATTTCACACTAATAATATTAATTAAATAAGAGACGCGTCTGCGGTAAATTAAATTTATTGCACCTTAACCGCTCTCTAATAATAGTAAATCATCACAGTCGAAGCGATCCTTTTGCAGCAGCAGTGATGGAAGTTTGAATTAAAGTATTCACTCTCGGATGTATCAATTTTTTGAAAGGGAGTTTTTCTGCATCACAGTTTATTTTAACTTTCCCTAATTAGAACATTATATATTAATTTTCTTTTAATCACTATATTTCTCTTTCAATATACAGGATCTTCATTACCGATTTCTGCTTCCATAAATGTTACGAGAACTAAGAACATTTTAATATGCAAAAGAAATTTTTGCCCTAAAACGATCGTTAAATTTCTGAGCATCCATTAAATAATTTAATTTAGATAATAACCCTCAAGATCACACTTAGGGTGGGCTGCCTTAAAAGTCACACTAGTGCGAATTGGGATTTTGCCAACTTTGAAATTTTATGTCTTCTTTATTTGTTAACGAAAACATAACGTATTTATATCAAAACTGGGGTAAATTTTTCCGAGAAATCGAAAGATTAGTTTAGAAAAAAAAAATTTGTTAATAAAAAATGCGACTGAGAAAAAAAAAAATTCGGAAAATAATTTTTTTATAATTCGTAGTTTTTTTAAATAATGGCTAGAGAAAAAGTAAAATAAGGATTTTGAAGTTCAAAGTCTATATTTTTAAGAAAAAATACCCCATATTGATAAAATGATATCGGTTTTTCCCGGTATCTCAAATATAGGCATTTTTGAAGTTGATGTTTATTATGCACTCTTTTGTATAAAAAATCTTAATTTAAACAATATTATCCATAAATATTTTATTAAATTAAATTACGCAGCCACAAAAAGCCAAGATTTACAAAATTCGTTTGTGAATAGAATAGAAAACCCGTGAACAGATTTTTTACAGAAAAAAGAACAAGATATAGCCGAAAAAAAGAAGGTTGATGATATCCCAATTGACCTCGAATTCGTGATAAGCGACCCCAAAAACCCCCGTATAACAAATTTGGCACGAATCTATTATTTTTTGAAAAGTTGGTCGTCCATCTTGGATCCGCCATCTTGAATTTTACAAAATTGACCTCGGATCCGTGATCAGCGACCCCGAAAACCCAAATTTCCCAAATTTGGCGCGAATCTTATTTGAAAATTCGTAATATCTTACCTTAATTTACCCGTTTTTTTGAAGTTAGAAAAAGAACCATCACGTGACACATCAATTCTGACAGTGGATTCACGTTCAGCGGGGTCTTAACCATATAAATGAACATTTGTCTATAGAATTTTTTTTTTGTATTTTTCCTATTCCTATTTTTGACCTGTTTTTTGAGGTTAGGAAATTTCTGTGATGTAATAGCTCAATTCTGACACGGAATTCGTGATCAGGAGGCAAAAATACTACGAATAACATATGTCGCATGAAAAGCATAGACAACTTTTTTTTGTGTGGCTGTTATTAATGAAAAAAAAAGTTTGAAAAATTATTATCAATAACTAAATAAACAATGTTCTAGTATATTTGACATGTAAAATTTGCATTTCAATTTACTTTATTTCTAGATTTATGATATAAATTCTGCCACACTAAAGTCACACTAGTGCGAATTCCGATTGGACTTTTTAGACTCCCTAGTTTGGCCGACAATAACAGACTGGACTGAGGCCAGTTGTGGTACGGCTCGACTGTTTGGGCTATAGAAGGGTGACCTTTGAGGGTTAAGAATAATTCTTCCTACTAAATAAACTCAAAATAACTTGAATTTTCCTTCATTATTATTATCCGTTGGTATCTTCTGTATTTTTAATGCTTTCCGCCCAAATAGAATACATGAAATATTAATTTAAATAAAAATAGCTTTTTTTCTTGTTTTCTCAAATTATCAACATGCCATTAAATCCATAAACAATTTTTACCTGTAGACGTTGCCGTCAGAGCCACAAACTGGCTCATCATCAGCCTCGTTTTCACAGTCCGCTGGACAAGGCTCTTCTTCCTTCAGTTTGGTGCAGTTTCCAATGTGCGCGAATTGAACACCCTTGAGGCATGTGGCTAAATTCAGTTGACACTGGTTGGTGTATGTTCTAGCATCGGTTCCGCATACTGGGTCGAAGTCGGTGGAACATTTGATTTTCAAGCACTTGGTCAGCTTGTTGCGGCATTTTTCGAAGTCTACCTTGCTGACGCGCCTGGCAGATCTACAAAAAATATTTGTGTTTTAGAATTCATGCAATGCTTGCAAAAACGATAGTTAATTCTATAATTATTAAATTCATTAAAAAAATATCCACAAATACAGAAAGTGTCCCATTTATGAAAAAGGCAATAAGAACGAAATGATTAACTACCACTACTACCAGCCTATGTAATACTGCAAGTAATTGCTCTAAAAATTTTGAAATTATTTTACAGTCGACTTTATTTTCATACTGAAAAGTGAATGTCTGCTTACCAACATGGATTTATGACTGGTCGTTCTACTACCTCAAATCTCATTAAAATAAATTTAATTTATTGTTGATATATGTAATACCGATTATTCGATGGGTTTGATCACGATCTGTTAAAGTGAAATTTAATCATATTGTATATTGTATTGTTATTTTTTTAGGTCCAATTTCAGTAACATACTAGTTTGTGTTTGTATATAGTACAGTGGCTTTCAATGAAATTAATTTCATCAATCTTTAGAGGTTTCCCAAGGGTCAGTTCTAGGGCCACACTTGTATGTTATCATTATTAATGTTTTAACTGAAACCTTGATGCCAATTACTCACCCTATGCAGATGACCTTCAATTGTTTCTGGACGTTAAATTTTCAGTTGATTGCCCTGGATTACAACATTGACTAAGTTTAGCAGTTGGTGTTCAAATATTGATCTGTCTCTGAATGTACGTAAAGCTACTAGATTTTGATCGTAAAATTGATTAATCTTTTTAAATATCCACACTTATGAAATTTACTGCCTAAATTATCATTTGATGAATATTTATATATTTTTTTTCATTACTTTGCATAGCTCTAAAGAATTTCTGCATTGTAAACTAGAGCATCTTAATTGTTTATTATTTATCATGTTTACAATGTTCAATTGCAGAAAGTGCAACAAAGATACTTAAAAACAATAAATTTTATTAGTTTTTGAGTTTATACATCTTATTGTTACATCTTAAGAGCCACTGTTATCCTGTTTTAATTTTAATACTGTTAATAATTTTACTTGTCTTTTTGCATCTCGTTCTTATATTTTGATTCCCATTTTATCCTGCAGTACAACATAGCTATGTCTTTATGCTAAATGTAAGATGTCTTTATTTAGTATTTTCCCTTTTTTTAGGTTTCGCTTTATTTTACTTATTTTTAAATAAATAAATAGAACTGCCGAAGAATTTGCAATTGAATTTATTATAGTCTTTAAAAAATCTAAATATCACAAATAATTCCTCACTTATATAATATTTTATGCTGTTATAATTTAACTCACCCACAGTTAAGCAGTTTTAGTTCACATTCGCTCCTGTAGATGTAACCATCTGAGCCGCAGGTGGGTTTTTCTATCTCGTTGGCACAACTGTTTGGACATCCTATGCTGTGAGAGGTCCTTTCTTGACCCATGCAATATGCCATTGGTACCTCGAAAACGTGTTTCCTAAAAGTAACACACGGTGTAATACTTTAAGTACAACTAAACTTTCTAAAAATCCTTTATCAAATTACTTTTTTAATAACGAAGTTAATGGTATAAAACAAATTATGTGTACACATAATTTTCCATGTAATATACACAGACGAGCCGGCGAAGCAAGAAGAGCGCCAGAACAAAGGGCCATAGCTGGCGGGGCCCAGCCAGGACAAAAGGAGGTCCCACAAAACGCCTATACCGGCCGCATTTGCGGTCGGGGTAGACGACGGATGGGGCCCACCTACGGAGGCTGTCCAGGCCTACAGGAGATGAAGCAGGATAAAGAGGGATAATCCCCCTCGATCCCAAATGATTGAGGCCAATTTTTAGCCACGGAATAATGACGCGTGTAATATGGTAGACAAGTTAATTAATGGGAAAGGAAATAAATTGATTTTGAATAAAATATACAGTTATTTCAGTTATTTAATAGGAAACTGTTAATGATAGTATTAGTTCTATTGAAAAGAAATTTGTTCCATGATATACATAATTGTGTTTGTTGGCAATTGTTGCTATAAAAATTATTTATATACTTATAATAAGTTATGTTATTGTGATTGTCATTTAGACTCAGAAATGTACTAAGGCAGTAATAGGAGTTGAGGTAATCGAGGTGTCAAAGGCGCAACTGAAGCTGCAGCAGACTAGTACCTCTATGTTGCACCAAAAGTGTGCAAAAAACATTTAAAATAGAAAAATGATAATAGGAGATTTCTTTGTGCGAGGTACCTTTTACTACGAACAGATCAAAAAATGAAATTATTCGCGTGACGCTTAATTCCAAAAGTGTCTGCCTCACTTACCCACAGTTTTTAGACTTCATTCTGCAGACGTTGGTGTATACTTTTCCATCGGAGCCGCATGCGGGTTTGGCATTCCTCCAGCACGATTCTCTGCAGTGCCGCGTAGTTTGGCAGTACTTCTTATTTGTTCTCACGACCCCCTGCCTGCAAAAAAATAAAAATTGGAATCGTTAAATACATATGCCCACATAACTCTACTTTGGCAGACAGATATATTAAATAATTTCTGCCGTGCAGTCATAGACCGAAAAAACGTCTTAAAATTATTTGATGTGACAAGAAGATACCCGTTTTAATAGATAAATACAAGCTTTTCGTTTTCTTTGACAAAATAATGGTATATGTGTAATAAAGTGACGGAAATAATAATTATTAGTTTCGACTAAGTGGAACTAAAGACATGTGGATTAAGTGCTAGATATGTAAAAAGCTATTAATTAGTTTACATATTATATGTCTCATTATTAACAAGATAATTTTAATTTAATTCTATAGGATGTAGGACCCGTTAGTCGAGAATTTCTTGATGTTTCGTATGGGAATATATTTTGGTTCCGTGTAGTATGACGTTTTTTTTGCCAGTAACGGTACATACTTTTAATACTCAGGTATCAAATCAAGTGAAATATTCTCAGACAAAAATAAATTATTACCTATTTGTAAGAAAATAATTGATGGATTTTTATCTTAATGACAATTCTTTAAAAAGAAACATACCTTACACTTTTGTTATCCTATGGAGGTTGAAATATATAGGTATGTGTCTTTCTATTAAATTACATTGTAAAAATTGTGCAAAAAAAATTATAAAAACGGACTTAGTCGAGACATTTTAATAAAGAAAATAATGAACATTTTTAGCGGGGTAGTTTATCAACAGTTAGGAACCAATAGAGTTGGTTTGAATTTGTTTAATACCTTTACAATATAGTAAAAGTATAAGAAATAATAATGGAATAAATGTTTCGTAACAACTGAACTGTATGTTAACGAAGAGTTAGATAAGAATACTTAATGTAATTCCTCTACGAAAAAGAGTTTGGTTATGTTTTGCTAACCTACTGTTTTTTATTTATCTATCATAGACCAGGACGAATATGTCGAAATATCTCACTTCTTGAATCAAAGAGGGTGCAAGCTTTTGCTGGAATACGTTCAATACAACTCACATAATAAAAATGTAGATCCCTAGATCTGGGCGAGGTCCGGAACATTTTCAAAATTTGAAAAAATACCTATTTTATCTGAGTTTTTTTACTTATATCTTGGAACCCATGCAGTTTGGAAGAATAATGAAGAGGAAAAAAGTTTTATAATTGAATTTTGCATTATACTGTATGTTAAAAATGTTTAAATTTATTACCGATGTTGCAAAATAACAATAATTGATAAAAAAAGGCCAAATCAAATTTTTTGGATAATTTTTTTAAAATATTGGCCGTTCTAATTAACCGATTCCAATTTTTCAAAAACCATTTGAAAGGTTGAACGGTATTTTCTATGTAAAAAAAATTCAAGTGTCTAGATGCATTATTTGAGACTGTGCAACATTTTGAAAATTAAAAAAAAAATTTTCAAAATTTTTTTCTAAAAATTATTTTGCGGAAACTATCGAACCGATTTTAATGAAATTTGGTGTGTTGTTTTATTATACTCTAAAGTTTTTTTACCAAAATTAGAATACCCTGGGAGCAATTAAAATATTTAAAAAAAAAATATCCAAGAAACTTGATTATTTTGCCTTTTTTTCATCAATAATTGCTATTTTGCAACATCGGTATAATTTAAACATTTTTAATTTACAGTACAGTGTGCAAAATTCAATTCTAAAACTTTTTTTCCTTTTCAATATTCTTCCAAACTGCATAGATTCCAAGATATAAGTAAAAAAACTCAGATAAAATACGTATTTTTAAAAATTTTTTAAACATTTTTGCAATTTTGAAAATGTTCCGGACCTCGCCCAGATATAGAGATCTACACTTTTATTATGTGAGTTGTACTGAAGGTAATCCAGAAAAAAATTTGCTTGCCCCCTCTCACATCCACCTCAAAACAGATCCGCCCTGGTCTATCAGTTAAAATTTAAGAAAACTGTAGCTTTTGTTACACAATAAATAGAAAGCGCAATCGTTATTAAGTAATTTACTCCAAAGCCAGAGTAAATACGAAAATTTGAATAGAGTAATTTATTTTCACAAATGCCTCACTTTAACCGAAGCATGCACAGATATTAAAAAAAAATCATTCGTTAGAAGTCACGCTTCACGAAAAGAGCAAACCCTTCAATATCTACGGCATTGGCAACTGAAGTAGAAGTATTATTAGCATGATTATAAGATTTTGTGAAGCTATCCTGAAATATTCAACAAAATTGACTTTTGTTTAAAATTTTGAGTTCCCGTAAGGAAAATGGTGCATTTCCTGACCAATGTTTATTAGCTTATTTTAACATCATCTTAAAACTTATACACATAGAAAAGTATATCGATCCCTTCTTGAATTCCTTTTTATTTATTTATTTATGTATTTCAGTGATTACTAGATTTTCATTCGACAATCATTCATTTCAGATTCAATATATGATACACTTAAGTACTCACCCACAGGTTAACAGTTTCATCTGACAGGTGTTCTTGTAAACGTTGCCATCACTGCCACAGATAGGTCCATCTTGTGGAGCCTGCTTGCAGTCTACCGGACAATTCTCCCTGTGGGCACTGATATTGTTGCATGGTCCCAAATGTGAGAGTGCTATTCCCAACCTAATAAAAATACAGTTATATTAGACTATCCTACAATCAAATCTTATGTGGTAGTACCTGCAGATTTCCACTTGAAGCATACATTTGTTGAGGTATGTTCTTCCGTCGGTCCCGCACACTAGATCCTTTTCCCCTCCACATTTGTGTTCGCATTTGGAGCCGGACGGACGCTGGCAGGGGCTGGGGTCCGCCGATAATGTAATTCCTAAAAAATAAATTTCACATCGAAATTAATTCTCCATCCTTACAAATAGGCTTCAATTTCAAAGTTCATTTTTAACATTTATTAGAGGTGGTAAGTTTGTTCCTCAGTAACGACACTAAAGTAAAAATTTTCTCGAAATTTCATTTTGTAGCCCATAGACACAGTTAACAGCGACAAAAGAAGGCAACTACAAAAAGGAAAATATAAATCAATAAAAAAAGAACAAGGAAAAAATAAACACGATATATTCACGTTTCTACGATCAATGAGTTTTATATCATACTACTTGAAGCCAGACCGAAATTTTTTGTGATTGCATGTTCAAACAGATTTTTAATGCCATTAAAGGAGATATCTGGATGGGGGTTGATTGCTTAAACATTTTCTATCTTTCTGGGGTTGAGATTTGAACTGTTTTGGTGATACTAGAGGATCAATGGTTTTGTTATTGATTTATTACTGTTATGTACAAGATTTTAAGTTCTTGCGTTAAACTGTTAAGCTTTAATTTAACTGTGCGTTTCAGTAAAAAACAAAAATAATAACAAATAAGAAAACAATTGTTTTAGTTACAGTCTGAGTCACGTAAATATATTTTCGCAAAGAGCATGTTATAAATATCAGGTGGGAAAAGACTGTGTAACTATCGGTATTTGTGCTATTAACTGAAATTTCAATAAAAATTTCGATTTTAACGTTGTCAGCGACGAATAAAAGACATCTAAATCAACTGCGAAATTAGTGGCCACTTTTGTTGGTGCATTAACCTTAATGTGAAAATTATTAATACATTATAAGAATATAATATATGATCATCATTTAAGATATATATTCAAATCTTTAGTAGTAGGTATATGGCTAAATAGCAAAGATATCTAATTATCTTCACTAAATACTGAATGTGTTTTCTTTGTTCAAATTATTAATACAATTTTATTCTAAAAATTCCATGCATACAGTAAGTACTTCAAGTTTCTAATTTATTTATAAATTTAAAAAATTTTGCTCCTTATAGTCCAAACCCTTATAAATTAAATATATTAATAATTTTTGCAAATTTTATAGTAATTTTATATTTATTTTATAGTGTAGGTAAATTTATCTTGTAATCTTTTGAATTTTTAATTATTGAAACTGAAATTGGTGTTCCAGTTTTATTCCAAAACAAAAAAAAAAATTAAATTAAAAATGGAAAAATAACGGGGCTTTGCCATATCAATATATATTGAAGTTAAAAAAAATACTACGTTCATTTAAATTATCATATTGCAGTTGCGTTGATGAAATTTAGGCAAATGATATAATTAATCAAGCAAAAATTAATATATTGATGTACACAATTATAAACCAACAACGGAAATAATGGGAGACATTGCCGCTAAGAACCCAATGATTCTAACTGAATAAATTAAATTTTTGAATATTTAATTCCTAACATGATTCTTAAGAAGATATTTTACGCTTCACTTAAAAAAATAAGCCTTCTTCATTTATATTACTTTTATAAATAATAAGTCAGCTTATTGAACTATTTAATAAATTTAAATCACTACAGGATTTTTTTTTGTTCGAAATATAAATTTAAAGACGGCATAACTATCAACAATGGAAAAAGATATTGAGGTAGACATTTCTAATTATTTAGGACTAAACAGATTCCATTGGATGATGATGATTTTTAAGTCACATTAGGATTTACATTGATGCATTTACGAAATTTTCATTGGTCTCAAAATTTTAAAGCTTTTAGTAGTATCTCCGCTACTCGTTAATAGATTTATATATAGTTGTTGCGCCATCAAAATGTAACAAGCGCATATTTTCAGCAAAACGCGTTAAGTTTTGGACATTCGATAAATGACATCAAACCGCATAATATGGTTAAAAACAACTATCTTATTTTCTATAGAAATGTGACTGTTCACGGTCAAATTTAATTTATTGTTGTAATTCTTAAATAAAAAAGGCAACAAACAGTTTTTATAACTCCACTGAACAATTTGAAAAAATTCACGTCTCGTTTTTGAAAACGCAACGACATTTCTATGAATTTTTGCTTTTATTAATTATTTACTCAATTCAAATTTCATCACAATTTCAACATCCTGTATATCAGAAATGGTTGAGATTTCTAAACAAATCTACTGTTTTTAGTGCATCTAATTTTTTTTGAGAATAAAACAGACATCTCGTATTTAAAATTATGACTAGCGCATTCGCCATTTTCTAGACTATTCGTTAGGTTACCTTTTCCACAAGTTTTCTTCTTCAGTTCGCAGATATTAGGATATATAATGCCATCGCTGCCACATACAGGATCCCCATAAGCATTTTGGGTACATATCCTAGGACACGATGAGTCTCTTACGGCCGCTGCTGCTGAAACAATAAAAACGACATTTTAGTAGTGGTTGATGGCAAATTGTCTAAAATATAATACCATTTCCCCAAAAAAATTAACATATTAGGTACGATGAGTTGCACAACATTGGTACCCTACCAAATATGACCACTTTTGTTTCAGCATGATTCATAATTAGGTGTAAAAACAAAGCAATTAACCAAATATACCACAGTACTAAAATGATTTCTTAAAAAGTCACGACCCTTTGTGGTTTTGTTTATTTAATACCATTGCGTTATTTCTTACTATATTTCAGTGAGAGGAGCATACTACAAAGAATTGGTTAGTTTTTGTCATATCTTTCTTGTTGACAGAGAATTTGAAAAACGTATGTATTTTTGAAACATAATTTTATTTGCTGTAAGGCAGTTATAGTATACATGTTACATACAGATAAAATACATAGTTTTTGGAAATGCAGTTCTAATTTACAAATAGTTGAGTACACTGAAGCTTCACATGCAACTTACCATAAAATATGTAGGTATAGTACGTAATAATAAGTACTAGCAAAAGTTAAAAAAATAATAATTTCTTACTCGCTTCGCATCGATCAATTTATTCGATATGTATCTAGGGGCACTCTAATGCCTGCTCTGGCGGCCTGGTGTGCCAGTGAATAATTTAAGTTTTTTTTCTGAGGGACGTTGATCGTGCATTTAATGTAATTGAGTGTATGGCACGTGTTTTTATGGCAGCTCGTAGCATTGTGTATCGTAAACATAGAGCGGCACACGGTTTAATATAGACTGATTATTGTACCGCCACAAAATTTCTGATGTCTATTAATCAAATAAATGTTGTTTTCTGATTTTTTGTTTTATTTTAATACATTAGGGGTGCTTTGATTCGTAATGTAACAGAGAATATTTAAACCTGAAAACTAAGTAGGTAGATGATATTCAAAGCAAAAAGGTGACAGTAATTTCCGGGTGAAACTGGAACTGTAGATACGTGACAACTATGAAATAGCATGTATAAATACAACATTAATACATACATATTCGCTCGAGTTGTTATATTAAGTAGTAGGTACATATGTTAGCTAATTTAAATGAACTTCAGTTTTCGCCGTATTAACTGTGTTCTACAAAATGTTGTTTACCTAATGTATGTAGTAGTGGTAACATGATTTCACTTATGACATATAATATTACAAGTTATAGAAACCGCACGACATTGATCTTCTCTTTCTCAACACAACCTACAAACAAGATTTCATTTCATTAACATCGACTTGTTTACGCTGCGAATTTGTTTCAAACTCAGTGAAATTAGAGCAGGCCTTGGAAACTGTAAATTTCCCTCATTAAAATGGATATATTGCAATATAGTTGTGACGTATAGGCATAAGTAAATATTTATGTCATCAATTAATAAATCAGTATTTCTAAAACATCTGTGGATAATAGTTATTTATTGTATAAGTGGTTTAAGTAGGATTTTATCCACGCAAGAATGTTTAAACGCGAGAACGTAGTTCGAGGGAAAAACGGAGAGTAATGACAATAAATGAGGAAGTCATGCTATCGTATTTTTTAAATTTGAAGCCGAAGTACTCGATGTTGAAGGCTACTTACTATAAAGGTCTACAAAAATATAGATATTGGAAAATATAACAAGTTTACTGCTTATTTGCAGAGTGAATCGAGAGGATACAAAGCAAAGAAAGTTGCAGCATTGGAAAGAGCACATATTAAAGAATTTTTTACTAGGGCTTCAGATAAAGAATATTTAATGATTAAGGTAATATCTCTTTACCTTTTACATGTTGTTAGGTATACAGTGAACTTTGATTTATTTTAGGTTGCACTAATAATGGGGGTTTCTGGTGCCTGTCGATGCTGCAAACTGACATACATCTCTTATCTATGCAACTGACAAATTTGAAAATTATTTGACGTACAGGACGTTGGTAGTTATTTACTTGTTTCAATATCTGACACCAAGAGGGCAATACCACAAAATTTACAATTATAGAAGAAGGATTTTGCGTGAATACTGTTGAAATATGCAGAAAATATATTTCTCTGCAGCCAATTCGCCTAACACAAGACATATTCTTTTTGAAATACATCAATCAAAAATGTACTTCTCAGCCTGTTGGAATCAACACACTATCGAAGGTACCCTTCATTCCCGAATATCGCAAATCCAGACTGGCCATTGTATGAGGTGCACTTCAACAACTTTATTGGCCAATAAAGGTACAACCATCAAACCGCATGGTGGATGGATGCTCCTCTGTAGCAGAAAGTTATGTTGAGAAGTCGATATCTAACAAACTTGATATTGCAAGGAAAATATAGCAGTTCCTTACAAGAAGAGACATCCGTAACTTGTGCAAGTTCTTCACAAGTTTTGGCACATGTTATGCGTTCCGAAAATGATGGCAACAATGTTACAAGGGTTGTTATTAACGGAAAGGAAGTTAAATGTGATAAAACAAAAAACGAAATGTCTATTACTATAAATGTAAATGTTATTGTTAATAAGTAAATAAATTATATTTGATTTATTATGGGTATATATTTTTTCATTATTCTACTAGTGAAATAAAGTTACTTTATTCCACTAGTGGATAAAGCATCACTTTAGACGGTTCAACGGTTCATATATGTGGATAAAAGTCCGATTATAAGGTGATTGCGGATAAAAAATATTAAAAGTTCCCAATTATCTGCATTTGTTTCACTTTGATACGTAATATGTTTGATTAGATTAGCAGGCATTTCTGTAAAATTATTTAAAAGAGATTGAATTAAATGCTAATACACTTAAGACAATAAAAATTACACTTGTGGCTAAGTTTAATGACTGCTAAGATGTTCTGTCAACTCAGTTTTGATGTATTATGCTCAATGTGATTATATTATAGAATTATTATCTATATTCTTCCAAATATTGCAAGAACCTATAGTACATATAAAATTCAAAATTGACAAATAGGGACAGTAGGCTTTGAAATTATGATAAAAACAGAAATAACGTAGACAGATTTAGTGGTACTAATAAATTTATTAATCACTTTACTGCCAGCCGTATACGTCGACAAACATATGCTTGTTTATTAACAGAGATATCAAAGGCTTACATCGCGAACTTTATGTACAAAGCCTCTTTATGATTCAATTAAACAGTAAATAGAGGAATGTAATCGAACTATTAATGCCTCAATCTGTACCATAATTGAATTAAGCGGCCTTCAATTACTGCGTCCGTCTAGTTTCCGTTACTAAGAGCGGTTACCTCGTTCTGGATATGTCGAACATACATTAATTGACATGCATATATGAATCGGTTGTAAAATGTAAATACAATGTGTGAAATAAATTCTTTAATTGTAATTCAGTAGTTATTGATGAAAATTAATGTGGTTATATTTTGACAATGAAGCGTGGGACTTATGCCATTTGTTAAGCGATGATTTTTATGTTCGCAAACAAATTTTGGCACAAAATTTGCGAAACAAGTAAAATATTGATAACTTTTTCCACAGTTATTCCTGACTATCCATATTGACATAGTACATTTTCTGTTTCATGTCCCCCCAAAGAAAAAAAGTTACTGGGAATTAAGTCGGATGAACGTGATGGCCAATGAAATTGAGTATTATGCCCCGTCATGCACAAAGTACATATGATTACAAAGATTAACTTTTAGACAATCAAACTGTACCATATTCCGAGTATTTTGCAAAAAATCCAAATAATTGTCTAGATTTGTAAATCTAATAGTACCAAGCACGATGTTATGAATAATATTGAATAATGACAAGTGTTTTTTATCAAACAAAAGTACAATACAAAGAAATGTGTTTTTTATTTTGCACTGACACTCACTGACAACAATGATCATATTGAATAGTCTTTATAAAAGAATCGCCCACTACAAGTTTCTGTAAATTAGATTAGGTGCTTTTTTCGTTTCTGTTGTAAAACGAATTACTTCTGAAATGACGTAATTATTTTAAGTTTGATTCGAAAAAATCACCCTAAACTAACAAAAATACAAAAATTTTACAAGAGAAAGTTTTTTAACAAATCCTTCGTCTTTTAGAGAAAAAAATAGGTCCTCTACAAAATTATGGGCCGGGTAAGAGAAGGGGAATTTGTTACAGTTCTATATGGAAGTATTAGTGTACCAAATTTAAAAAAAATCATACAAGGCCTTATTATTTGAAAAAATCATTTTTTTTTATTAACTTAACTTAAGGGAGATGTTAGAGATGCTGGTTTAATTAAATTTGCTTATCGTAGAAAACTGTGGTAGCTTCATCTATACGGAATATTGGGATAGCCTGTATATTTGCAAAATATGTCGGTTCATAATCCATGATATATACAGGGTTAGTCACTATAATCTGACAAGATATTGTGGGTTTATTATTGAAATTACAAAATGTAATATACAAGTTTTAGCTTTTTTTTATGAATTTTTATAATACAGCATTAGAAAAAACAATTGAATAATGGAAATCCCTAAATTAAATATATATATATTTTTTAAATGGGATACCATATGTAGGTATTAGTGCATATTAACTCTGTTAAATTTTTCTCTCTTCAAAAATATATAATATGTTGCTGTTTGATTCAAGACTTTTTGACACATTTCAGTTTAAAACTATTTTTGAAAAAACAGGAGGAAAATTTATTCTGATGGATCGCAGTGGCTATGGACGAGGCACGCGGAACAAACAAATGACTTTGACAGAAGTTTATTTATCATCATTAATTTATTTCCTATAACGAACTATTTTGACAAAGAAATAATGTTTAGTGAGAACGAAAAACTTGAAGTTATTCGTTTATTTTATGAATAATAATAATCATTCTTAACTTTAACAGAATTTTAATACCTAATTAATAAAAATAAACTAAAACACAAATGGCCACAGATGCTCAAGTCAAGTATGCACTAATATATAGAGTGTTCCATTTAAATTTGTTTCTTCTAATACTGTATTATA